TTTTGTTCTTAAGATATTAAGTTCTATTCAAAATTGAATTGTGATATGCATCCTAAAAATATGTAAAATTATTATAAATTTAACTCAATAATAAAGTCATTTGACAAAACTTGTTTAGATATTTATTGTGAAACTCACACCTTAATATTAATTGAGGTATATATAATTATAATTATATAGTATTATTTTGGTTAGAAACATGTGTATGACCTTAGTCCTAATATTAATTGAGGTATATATAATTATAATTATGTAGTATTATCTATGGTTAGAAGCTTAATTAAGTTTGGGAATCCTATACTAAAATTAATTGAGGTTTATCTGACTTTAAGGTTTATCTACACTAACCTAGTATTTATTGAGGTTTATATGATTAACAACTTATATATAAGACCACGCATTAAAATTAATTGAGGTTTATTTGTATAATTATATAATATGATATTTTAGATTTGTTTCTTATTCTATTTATTCTTATGATTAATTTGGAATTTAGTCCATTGAGTATTTACTAAGGATTTTTTCAAAGTCCAATAAGTATTTATTGATAATTTTTTTAAAAAGTCAATGAGTATTTATTTGTGAATTAAAAACAAATTGTTATTACAATAATTTTTATATAGTTAATATGTAGCATAGTATTTGTTGGTTATTTTTACATGGGTGAAACGTGATTAGTGTGTGATTGTAGACAGTATTTATGGTCAAATAACATTATAAATAAATTATGAAGTATAAACTAGCATGTATTTATTTGTTTATATTTATAGAGGTAATTAACTGTACAATAAATTTTCAATTAAAATAAGACATTATTATTGAAATCTAAGTTCAAAAACTTTGTTCCTTTTTCTTTTGGTATTTATTTACAGTTAAGATGTTCAAAATTAATTTTCAAATATTTTAAAAGCTAATATCTTTCCTTAATGATCTTAAGGATTTGGCCTATTAAATCCAAGCTTTGGAGTTTCAACAAAAAAATTTGTTTATCTAATAAATAAGAGCCAGTTTAGCAGATTTTTTTTTTAATAATAAACAAAAATTTCCTTTTTTTTTTTCTTAACAATTTTATAAAAACTTGGATTCAAATCATTACATAAATGAAAAAGATACATTTAAATGTGACTTGACTCATTGTAACGAAGAACCAAGTGCTTATTTCTTAAATTTAAACTTTAATTAAGGAAAAATTATTTTCTATCATTTAAATGTTTATTACTAACAAGTTATATAAAAAAAAGAAAAGAAAAAAGAATGGACCCTTTATACCTAATAATTCATACTTAAGTTTATTTAGGTGTAATTGATCAAAAATTCAACTCTTACTCAATCACCGCTCTAAACCTACGGGCTACGGCGAAGGGCACCATGGCGGTGGCGGCTAGGTTGATGCAGATCAGACGAGCACTCTCTCTTCTCGCTCGTAATCAGCCTCACAGCAGTCTTCTCCGAGGTACCTTCAGCCTATTGTTCTCTCTTTGACTTTTTTGCTTTCACTATGTACATATGATACATGTGTTTCTTTCTACCATCCCAACTCGTAATTGAAGCATGATATTTGCGACTTCACTTTTGGGTTTGAGTTTTTCTGTCCATAAAAGAATTGGGTTTAGGTTAATTCAAGGGATAATGATTGGTTTCTGCAGATTGAATTCTTGGGCTTTTTTAAACTTAAATTTTCTTTATCGATATTGTTGTTGTCGTCGAATCTTAGTAAGAGGAAATGAAAATTTGAGGTTTTGTGTTTTCTTGTGCTATAATTCCTTCTTAATTGAGTTGCTTTGTTACACAATGGCAATTTTCCAATCGTTTGGGTTTTTGAGAAGTTGAATTATATTCTGCAATGGCAATAAAGAAGGAAACTTTAACAACAGATTTTTTGATTTTTTGTGTCAGTTGCTTGTGGAATGATGATGTCTAGCAGTGTGAGAGGTTAGCTGAACAAGTTCATACTTGTCAGGGTGAAATGATAAATATAAGGCCCAGTTCTACTCTGAACTTGAATCATGTCATGGACACAAACTTACCAATTGGAGTTGGTTGCTTTACCTTTTTTTTCTAATACTTGCCAATGTTTTCAAGTTTTATGAGGGAACTCTTCATAAGCATCATTGTAGATTCTTGGTTGAAATTGTAGGAGAATTATATCGTTGGTGAAGGATAGAGGGATCAAGGGAACTTATTTAATTAATATGCCTATAAGCACCTCTTTACATGCTTTCAGCTATAATAAATATGGTGCTGTTCTGAATATGCTTACAATATAACTCATAGTCTGAACAATAGTCATGGTAGAAATGAAAAGCCTGTTGTGAGACCACTGATATTGGGGAAAATATGGAATAGATATTGGAAATAGTTTTTTGGTGCATTTGGAGATCAGGCAAGAGAGGGGATTTGTAAGATAAACAACCATTGGACCAAGCCCATGTTCTTTTCATCAATTTGATTCAACTTTTCCTCCAATATCTTTATCATCTCTTCCTTCCACAAGTTTTAGATTGTTTCTGTTATTGTTATTTTTGTGACATGTCTTCTTTACATGGTGTTATATGTAATTTCAAAACTACATTTTTGTATTATTATGCTTTTCAGTTCACGCACAAAGTGTGCTTTTCTAAGTTGAATGTTCAACTTTTGCTGGCAGAGTCCCCTCCACCATTCTCTCCTTCTGCACCAACATTCTTGAGCACCAGATATAACTTCAATGGAAGATGGTTTCAAACTCAAACAAATTTAACTGCCCTGGCTAACAAGGATGCTGAAGATCAGGAAGTTAGCAGTTTACAACCCATTTCTGATTCATCCAGTGATCTGCCCAAGACAGAAGACTCTACTGTGAAGCATACTGCTATATCCCGCTTGAAAATGTCCTCAAGGCACGATCTTGCCATGATATTTACATGTAAAGTATGTGAAACAAGATCCATTAAGACAGTTTGTCGTGAATCATATGAGAAAGGCGTGGTGGTTGCCCGTTGCGGTGGTTGCAATAATCTTCATCTGATTTCGGACCACCTTGGATGGTTTGGAGAACCTGGAACTGTAGAGGACTTCCTGGCCGCACGTGGGGAAGAAATAAAAAAGGGTTCGATAGATACACTAAATCTAACACTAGACGATTTAGCAGGAAAGGGGGTCTTGAAAGG